TGAAACAAATGGAATAATAGAAAGTTTCAGCAAAGAAATAAAAGACACGAGGAGAGCCAAATGAAAATTTTAGAACTTAAAAGTACAATACCTGAAATTAAAAAAAAAAAAAAAAACTCAATGAATGGGTTCAACTGTAGAATGGAGAAGAGAGGACAGGGGAAAGAATCAGGGAGAAGGCAGAACAGTAGAAATTACCCACTCTGGAAATAAAGCCAAAACAAAAGAAAATAGACTGAGAAATATAGAGAATATAGACTGAGAAAATAGACTGAAAAAATGAACAGAGCCTCATGGACATGTGAGGATTTTAACAGAAGATCTAACATTCATGTCATCAGAATCCCAGGAGAGTAGACAGAAGGCAAGACTGAAGGAGAACTCAAAGAGACAATGGCTGAAAACTTCTCAAACTGGCAGAGGACATAAATGCTCAGATTGAAGAAGTTGAAAACAAACAGGACATACCCAGAGAAATCCATTCCAAGTGCATCATAGTCAAGCTTATTAAAACTAAAGACAAAACAAAATAAAACCTTGAAAGTAGTCAAAGAGCAACATTGCCTTTAGGGGAAAAGACAAAAATTACCAACATCAGAAGGGAAACACAGAACATCATTACGGATCCTGCAGATATCTAAAAGATAATAAGGGGACATTATGAATAGCTCTAAACACATACATTGGATAACTTAGATGAAACGGACAAATCCTTGAAAAGTAGAAATTACCACAACTTAATAGGAAATACATAATTTGAATAACCTTTTAACTATTAAGAAAATTCAATTCATAATTTTAAACTTCCCTCAAAAATAAATTTACAGATCCAGATGGCTTCACTGGATAATTCTACCTAACATTTAAAGAATTAATACCAATTCTACATAGTCTCTTCTAGAAAATAGAAGAGGGAACATTTTTTAACACTTTCATCAAGGCTGTATTACCCTAACACCAAAACCAAAGACAGTGTTAAAAAAAGTATGGACCAATGCCCATTATGAATGTGGATGCAAAAATTCTTTACAAAATAGTACCAAGTACAATTCTGCTATATGTAAAAGGAATTCTAAGCCATGACCAAGTGGAGTTTATTCCAGAGATGCAAAGTTGGTTCGGTTTCAATCATCAATCAGTGTAATCCTCTTTACTAATAAACTAAAAAAGAGAAGTTACCTTATCATATCAATTGATACAGAAAAAAATTGACAAAATTCAATACCATGTTTCTCAAAAACTTTTAGAAAATTAAGAATAGGAGGGAACTTTCTCAACTGGATAAAGAATATTGACAGAAACCTACAACTAACATCATTCTTGATGTTGAAGACTGTTTTCCCCTAAGATCAGGAACGAGGCAAGAATGTCCACTCTCAATATAATGCTGCAAGTTCTACTCAAGAGCAACTATAATATCATTGTATTTAAAAAATACTATTCAATATATTTAATATATTGCTGGAAATTCTGGCCAATGCAAGAAGGCAAGGAAATGAAATAAAAGGCACACAGATATGAAAGAAACAAACTGTCTCTATTTGTAGATCACATGACAATCTATACAGAAAATCCATAAAAGAAATGATTTATGAAAGAAAAATTGGTAAACTGGACCTCACCAAGAGTAAAAACTTTTCTCTGAGAAATATCTAAGACAGTGATTCTAAAAAAACAAGCTACAGACTGAGAGAAATATTTACAAATCACTTATCTGACAAAGGACTCCATAGCTAGAATATATAAAGAACTCTCAAAACTCAACATTAAAAAGCAAACAATCCAAATAGAAAATTTATGAGATATGTGAAGAGACATTTCACTGAAGAAGAAACACAGATGTCAAATAAGCACATGAAAAGATGTTTAACATCATTAGCCATTAGGAAAATAAAAATTAGAGCAATGATAAGATGTCATTACACAGCTTTATGAACAGCAAAAATAAAAAATAGTGACAGTATCAAATTCAGATTGGGATGCAGAGAAGGGGTATCTCTAATGTGTTACCACCAACAATGTAACATGGTACAATCATGCTGGAAAATAGTTTGTCAGTTTCTTTAAAAAACTAAAAATACACTTATGAACCAGCAATTGAACTCCTGAACATTTAGTCTAGAGAGAGGAAACTTACATGCGCACAAAAACTTGCTTATGATGTTTCATACAAACTTTATCTGTAATGACCCAAAACTGGATACAACCAAAGACTCTCAGTAAGTGAATACTTAAACATACATGGAGTACTACTAAGCTATACAAAGGCACTCTCCTGAAACATGCAACAACTCGGATGGATCTCAGGACATTATGCTGAGTTTAAAAAAAAAAAAAAAAGCCAATCTCAAAAGATCATATTCTCTATGATTCCATTTAAGTAACATTCTCAAAATGACAAAATTATGGAGGTGGAAAGAGATTAGTGTTTGTCAGGGGTTAGAGATGGTGAAGAGGAAGAGGATGAGTGAAACTAACATGGGTACGTGGCATGACAGAGACCTTTGTGGTGATGGAACAGGTTTGTATCTTGATTGTGGTGGTGGCTACTCAAGTCTACACCTGTGACAAAATGCAGAACATATACACACATTGTACTAACGTCAAGTATCTTGCTACAATTATGTAAGATGTTGCCATTGGGGGAAACTGGATGAAGGATACTAGGGTCCTCTCAGTACTATCTTTGTAACTTCCCATGAATCTCTGATTATTTCAGAGCAAAAAGTTAAAAAATAACCGAAGTATAAGTCCACTTTTACAGCACTTAAAAACTGGTAATAGTTAATCTACGATGTCAGAAGTCAGTATAGTGGTTCCTCACCATAGGGCAGTGACTAGAAGGAACAAAGGGGGCTTCTGGGCACAGGTGATGTCCTGGTCTTTGGACTGAGGCCAGTTACATGGGTGTATTCAAATGCCTTGCATGAAACTGAACACTTAAAATATTTGCACTTTTCTGCAGGTGTGCAGGTGTGTTATATTCATGATTAAAAGGTCATAATGAATTAAGTGAAAAAAGCATTCAGTTGTATATGAGATTACCTGTGAGTACTATAAACAAATATGTTCTGGAAGGTGTCCTTTGCAGAGGGCAATTGGGAGGTAAAGACAGAGAGAGATGCCTACTTCTTGCTTTATACTTTTCTGTGCTGTTGGAATTTTTAAAAATACTCACTATGGAGACTCCAGCCAGAAAGCCAGCTTTGACCTTTCCCACTGTCTGGGTCCCTCTTGGCCTTGGGCTGGCTCCTATGACATCACTTACCACTACTAGAGGATGGGGCTTTTAAGCCTCTAACCAACCGAATCTAGACAGCTGTTAGTTGTGTGCAGTGAAGCATTTAATCAATCACTGTGGCTTTTCTCCATAATGCAAATGCTTTCCTGGAATGACAGGGCTACTGGGCCTCACCCTTGGCAGAGTGGCAGGTGGGTGGGCTTTTCTTTCTGATCGTATTGAATATATGAGTCTACTGTCCTTCACCTGATCCCAGCCCCTTAGACTGTTCCTCTCCTCACTTGTCAGACATAGATCCCACTGCCAGCCCATTCACTCCACTTACAGAACCTGAGCCTTCCTCCAAGTCCCATGTTTCCAGGAAGTCTTGAATGCAACAGAGACTCTTAGGCTTTAGAGCTAGACACCCCAGTTCAAACCCTGAGCAGTTCTGCTGATGATAAACTCCCTAACCATGGGCAAGCTTTTATTTACTCTTCTGTAACATAGAAATACAGGCACATTCCTGGCATGACTGTTGGGAGGATTGAATGTAGCCATGTGAATAAAGTACTCGGTCCAGAATCTGTCACATGATGAGAGCTTTGATAAATGTCCATTCCCTTTCCTGGGGGCTCCATTTACCCATTCCTACCCAACGCATCTAAAATGATCTCCAAACACACTTGTGTTATAAACTATTCAGCAAGTCAAATGTGCTTGTTGGGGGCTGTTTATGCATACTCCCTCCTCAAATTAATTGTAAATCTGTGGAGACCAGAAATGGCCCCTGACATCCTCAGTGCACCGTCCCACCTCTCACACACAGTAGATCCTCAATAAGTGTTGATGGAGGCACTGGCCATCCCATTCCAATAGGGGCTCCCCATCTACCCGCTTGAACACACTGATGTTCAAGCCCATAGGAGACAACCAGATGCCAAAGGACTTGACATTTCAGAAATGCAATCAAACACTTAACATGCCAATCTAGCAGCCATCTGAGTATCCTTTTCTCAGACCCAGAGAGCTCTTGATAAGTCAAGACCACTTTTACACTGGTCTATGATAGCCACTTACTAGCTATGTGGTGTCGGGCAAGCTCTGAAACCTCTCTGAACCTCCACATTCTTGTTGATGTATTAATACATAACCTGCCACATAGGACCTTTACATACCGGAAGGACTGGAAATGAGCAGGAACTCAGGTTTGGGTCCAGTTTCCACCATATCCTTTCCTTCCTCTGGGCCACCAAGTCAAGAGTCCCTCTGCATGCTGCTGGAGGATCTTTGTCCCTGGATTCAGATCTGTGAAGTCCCCTGGTCTGTCACATTCCATTTATGAGTAAATTGCAGAATGGTTCCTCAGAGAGCCTGGTTGCCTTCCCTCTTCCCAGGACTGACTCAACATGTCCCAAGTGGTTACTGAGCTCTGGCTCTATGCCAGAAGGGGCTATGCGCACCATCCCCTTCCTCATGAAGCAGGTAGTCGAGAGCAGCAAATGAGAGCCACATGTATAATATCATATTTTCTAGTAGCCACATTAAAGCAGTAAACAAGCACACACCTATAATCTCAGGTACTCTGGTTGGAGGATCACTTGAGCCCAGAAGGTCGAGACCAGCCCTAGCAACATAGCAAGATCTGGTCTCTACAGAAAAAAAAAAAAAAATTAGTCGGTGTGGTGGCACATGCCTGCAGTCCCAGCTACTCAGGAAGCTGAGGCAGGAGGATCACTTTAGTCTGGGAGGTCAAGGCTGCAGTGAACAAGCCTGGGTAACAGAGAGAGACCCTGGCAAAAAAAAACACAAAAAAACAGACAGAAACAAACAAATAAAATGTTAATATTATTTTTATTTAACATGAATATATTAAAATAATTGTTTCAACATGTAATCAACATAAATTATTCATAAGCTAGCTTACCCTTTCTGTACTAGGTCTTTTAATTCACATGTGATTTTATACTCTCCACCTCTCACTTCTGAGGAGCCACATTTCAAGTGCTGCCCAGTCACACTTGGCAGGTGCTGCCGTTCTGGACAACACAACTCCAGCCCTGCCCCGGGACCTGGTGAAGCACTTAACGTCAATTCTCTTGGCAGTTCCTAATAGAGCCAATCTCACTGGAGCCCTGTTCTGTTTTGGCCAGGGCCAGCTTCTGAGCATCCCAGCGGCCTATGGGGATCTGGAGATGGTCCGCTATCTACTCAGCGAGAGACTGGTGGAGCTGCCCACCGAGCCCATGGATGACAACCCAGCCGTGGTAGCAGCGTATTTTGGGCACACGGCCATTGTGCAGGAATTGCTTGAGTCCTTACCAGGTAAATCACAGGGCATGAGCTCTTAACCATGTCTCAGGGCACCTCTTCTTAGGCATCACCCCAAAATGTTTACTTCTTCATGCTTTCACCAATAATGAGATCAAGAAATCCAGGGCAGGCCACTGACACCCAAACAAAGTGAAGCTTGCCTGCTAGCCACATCCCACCTCTCACTCCCATGAACTCATAAGAGAAAGTCTCAAACACCATATTTCATAAAGAATGTAATTAACATTGCTTTTTAAAAAAATAATTAATAGACCTTGGTCTTTTTAGAGAAGTTTTAGATTTATGGAAAAAATTGATTGGAGTGTATAGAGTTCCAGAATTAATGATTTGAAGGTATGTTAACAGAAAACAGGTGATCCCTAATTCACTTACACAAGAATGTCTAGGTAAGAGAGACAGAGTAATCATACTAGTAACTTGTATTGAGATGGGGATGCAGCAGTCTTAGGAGGCAGGTGCTATATTTCAGGGCCATGGTTTTAAGATGAGGAAACCAAAGCTCAGAGAAGTGAGCTCCACCGTACTCCCTCCACACGGTTTTCCCTATAACTCTGTTTTGCATTAGTGTGGTACATTTGCGACAATTGATCAACTAATATTGATACCTTCTTATTAACTAAAGTCCATCGCTTACATTGCAATTCATTCTTGCTGTTGTAGATCCCATCGGTTTTGACAAATGGATAATGACACGTATCCATCAGTACAGTATTACACAGAACAGTTTCACTGCCCTAAAAATCCTCTGTGCTCCACCCCTCCCCTGACCCCATCCCTCCCTCCCTCCCTCCCCTGGCCCCTGGCAACTACTGATTTTTTTAGTATCTTTGCCTTTTCCAGAACATCGCTTTAGTTGGAATCCCACAGTATGTAGCCATTTCAAACTCACTTCTTTCCCATAGCAATATGCATTTAAGGTTTCTCCATGCCTGTTTGTGACTTGATAGCTGAATAATATTCCATTGTATTTGTGTACCACACTATGTTGCTTTTATGGGAACTATTTTTTTCTTTGGTGAACTCAAGATGTCCTGGTCTCCTGTAATTTCCCGTGGTGGTCTTAGCTCAGAAACACTGCACCAGTCTAGGCAGGCATCGCTACAGTTATAGGTTGAGGCACACCCTAGCAGTGGTCTTTGGGAGTTAGGATTTTGCTTGGGAGCCAGGGCCCACCTCTTGGGTGGGAGAACATGCAGTCGCCCAGGGCTCTGCACCTAGAAGGGCCCACGTTTTGTTTAATACTCTGTACTCACTATCTTAAAATGTTCCATGATTTTTAAACAAGAGGCCCCATTCTTTTCATTCTGCATTGGGCCTCACCCCTTATATAGCAGCCTGTTTGAGAGTTTCCAGCTGTGTGCTTTGGTAGATCTGTGCTCAGAGCTGGTTCCAAGCTGGTGTTCCCCTCATATGTCTGAAGGCAGAATGACATTATGGGCAGAAATCAGAGCAATTTTAGGGTCCATGAGAAGACTAAGACAAGACATAGGAGGGCAGAGAGGAGCTTGGGTGCCCCTAAGGAGCCAAAGGCTGACCTGCCTCTTTTCAGGGAGCCCCAAGATTAGCTGTGTTCTAGCCCTGAAGAGTCTACGCCAGCTGACTCAGTCACCTAATGTTAGCTAATATTTATTGAATACTGCCAAGTGCTGAGCACTTTGTAGAACTTGAGAGACACAGAGAATTTTTTTAAAGATTTTCCCAGCCTTTTAGTACCTCCTGGCCAAGCAGGGGAAATTAAGGCAGAAAGGAGTAACGTTGTGCAATGTAATTATGCTGAGGTTGAAGTATTTTTACACAGAGGTCTGGGAGCACACCAGGGGGCAGGTTTGTCTGGATGCTGGATGGGGTCTCCCAAGGGAGTCTGACATCTGACTTGGGCTTTGCCGAGTGAATAGGAGTTTACTTGGCAGACAAGTGAGGGAAGGACTTGGGCTGCCTGCTTTTGCAGAACAGGAAGCATGGCTGAACCTCATCATGGTTTTCAACTGCTCCCAGGAGCATCCTGTCTTCAGCTCAACTCTGAGCAGAGCTGCTGAGGACTGAAGGATTTCAGACCATTGTGGTGGACTTTGCAGAAAGTGCAGAGATGGGAAAAACAGTGTGTACCATCCCTGCACTTCCTGCAAAGGAGTTCCCAAGCTGGAAGGGAAGTCAGCCATGGTCAGGAGTAAGTTAAGACAAGAAGACAAACAAGAGTCAGGCCGGACATGGTGGCTCATGCCTGTAATCCCAACACATTGGGAGGCCAAGGCAAGAAGATCACTTGAGCCCAGGAGTTCATGACCAGCCTGAGTAACATAGTGAGACTCTGTCTCTACAAAAAAAAAAAATTCTAAATTAACCAGGCATGGTGGCACATGCCTATATTCCCAGGTACTCGGGAGGCTGAAGTGAGAGAATGACTTGAGCCCAGGAGTCCGAGGCTGCAGTCAGCTATGATCACATTACTATACCCCAGGCTGAGATAGAAGGAGACCCTCTCTCAAACAAAAAGCAAAAACAAGCAGCAGCTAGAGAACAAAGGAGGGTTTGAGAAGAAGAGGGATGAGAGGTTGATGGGATTTATTCTTTGAAGCATGTTGTTAAGTGATTGCTGGTCTCTGAAGCTGAGCAGGGAGGAAGAGGGGCTCCTCTGAGTGTCATTGGCCTTAGGCTGTAGACAATACCTGTAGGGGTTTTGTGTGGTTAAGAGAGCACCCTTTGATTTTAGACAAAGCAAGGTTTAAGTCTTGACCTTGTTATTTACCAACTATGGGACCTTCAGGAAGTTTCCCTGCTGGGTATGTCCCGCAGACCCTGGCTGATGGATGAAATGAGTGCTCAGACACAGGTATACAGTGTAAGAGCAGCTGGGTGACTGCCTGGCTCTAGTGGCCAGAGAGCAGCCTGGAGAAGCTAGAGCTGCTTGCTTTTATTCAATGCAAGCACAATGCCGAAAACCTGGAGCGAGCACAACCTGTACGTAATTAACATTTATTGTTCCCCTTTCAGGGAATGGCAAGTCAGCAGATGATCAAAGGTCAGTTCCTGGTCACCATAAGTAAATAAGCCTGTTTAAGCTACATTTCCCTACACTCCTTGCCCTCTGCCTTCAGCTATTTTCCCCCAGGGCTCTGCAGAACCTTCTGAACTTTCAGAAGGTTTGCGTCCTTTCACTGTAGTTTTTCCCACCACTCTGACCAATCTCCTACATTTCCAAACCTCCTCTCTGAGCTTTGGTTTCCTCATCTTAAAATCATGGTCCTGAAATACAATGCCTGCCTCCAAAGACTGACACATCCTCATCTCAACAGAAGTTACTAGCATGGTTATTGTGTTTCTCTTACCTAGATATTCTTGTGTAAGTGAATTAGAGGTCACTTATTTTCTGTTAACATACCTACAAATAATTAATTCTGGTTAACAGTAGAGGGAGAAGAAGGGATATTTATTTGGCACTGGCTCCAGCCTCAGTCCTATGCTACATGTTTATTTTGGTGAATAACAGGGCCGTCCTGACCCTGCTTTCATTCACGTCCTGTCATGAAGGAGAGGGTCACTCTCTCCTCACTTGGGAGCACTTTGATCCCTAAGACTATGTGCCTCTGGAAATGAGACAGTGTTATGATGCATTTGGGAAATGTCCATGCAGAAGATGAGGTCATTTTTCCATGGCAACTAGACCCAGAAGATATTGCACTATTTTGAACTTGAAGATATTGTAACATTTCAGCCCACACTGTCCCTGTTAACTCAATGTGCTAAGTGTTATTTCATCCTGGAATTAAGTAGGCAGTTCTATTGGGGAGAAATTCTCAGTTTTAGGCCTGACAGATCCATTTCTTTCACCAAAGCTTTTATTATTATTATTCATGAAAGTAATATATGTATATTATAGATAATTTTAAAATGTGGGAAAGTGTTAGTACTCTAATAATACAATGACACAACATAATGAGTTAGGATTTATTGATCCAGGCACTTGACACACATTTTGTGATGTAGTCCTCACATTAAACTTGGGAGGATGAGTATTATTATTCCAATTTTACCAACAGCCAAACTAAGAGAGAGATTAAGAAATGTGTCCAAAATTGCATAGCTAAATTATTTTAACTCTAAAATGCCTGTCTCCAAAGTTCATACTCCTGCATGTAATGTTACTCTAGGGGAGGGGTGAGGGCAGGGGAGAGCCCAGAGATAATACCACAACACTGGGGTAGTTCTTTCTAGTCTTATTTCCACACATTCATTTTTTATTTGGCTAAGATCAAGCTGGATATGCCATTTTTAATCCTACCTTTCATTGCTTGGCATTTTCTGACAAGCAGGTGGGGGAATGAAGTATGGAAATGTCATATGCAATTCAGAGGGGCTATTCCAGAAACCACTATCAACTCAACAGAAGCAACTTTCAGCTGGAAACAGGACAGCTGGATTTTTTTTTTTAACTTTTACTTTAGGTTCAGGGGTACCTGTGCAGGTTTGTTACATGGGTAAACTGCATGTTGCTGGGGTTTGGTATGCAGATTATTTTGTCACCTGGGTAATAAGCATAGTACCCAACAGGTAGTTTTTTAATCTTCACCCTTTTTCCTCCTTCTGCCCTCAAGTAGTCCCCAGTGTCTGTTGTTCCTTTCTTTGTGTCCATGTTCATTCAATGTTTAGCTTCCCCTTATAAGTGATAACATGCAGTATTTGGTTTTCTGTTCCTGTGTTAGTTCACTTAGGATAATCACCTCCAACTCCATCCATGTTGCTGCAAAGGACATGATCTCATTCTTTTTTATGGCTGTATAGTATTCCATGGTGCAAATGTACCACATTTTATTTGACCAGTCCATTGTTACTAATGATCTAAGAGAAGAGCAGAGTGGGAGCAAGTAGCACCCTTCAGTGGTACTTTCCCTTTGTCCTGCCATCTCCTGCCAGGTCCCTGCAGTCCCCAGCGGCTGCTGAACTGGATGCTGGCCTTGGCTTGCCAACAAGGGCACCTGGGGGTTGTGAAGCTCCTGGTCCTGACGCACGGGGCTGACCCAGAGAGCTACGCTGTCAGGAAGAATGAGTTCCCAGTCATCGTGCGCTTGCCCCTGTATGCGGCCATCAAGTCAGGTGGGTTTCCCCACTACCCCGAGTCAACCCTGACCATGCAAACCATCTCAGCCTCCAGATGTGGGACTGTGTCTTTATTCTCACTCTTGGCTCTCAAATTACCTCTGTGAGGAGACTTTTGCAATTCCTGTTCTGTGTTTCTTTTTCAAAATATCTGCACCCTTCCTCATTTCCCCCTTACTTGCCCCCGCAAGGGAATTTCAGTGACAGAGACTGACTGTGTCTAATGGGACTGTTGTATGAGGCACTCCAAAGGGCAAAGCCCCACAGAAATTCTCCTACTAATGGGAACTTGATGCATCAAGAGAAGTAAATAGAGAAGTCCAACCAGCACAAGTACCTTTTCAGTTTCCATTCCACATATCAGAGTCTGCCCTTCCAACAGCTATGACACTTTCTGTACCTGCATGCCTTTAGCTTTCTGGTTTTGTTCCTTTAGGGAATGAAGACATTGCAATATTCCTGCTTCGGCATGGGGCCTATTTCTGTTCCTACATCTTACTGGATAGTCCTGACCCCAGCAAACATCTGCTGAGAAAGTATTTCATTGAAGCCAGTGCCTTGCCCAGCAGTTATCCGGGAAAAACAGTGAGTAGTCACTGCCTGTGGAGTGTATTTAGTTCCTTTTGTATTGCTGTAACAGAATCCCACCGACTGGATAATTTATAATAAACAGAAATATATTTGGCTTACAGTTCTGGAGACTGAGAAGTCCAAGAGCATAGTGCTGGTGTCTGGTGAGGGCCTTTATGCTGTGGTATCCCATGGCAAAAGTGCTGGTATCTGGTGAGGGCCTTCATGCAGTCGTATCCCATGACAGAAGGTGAAGAGCAAGAGACCAACAGACTGAGAGGGAAGAACTCACTTTTATACCAACCCACCCTCAAAATAACATAACAACATTAATCCATTTATGACGGTGGGGCCTTCTTGGCCTAATCGCCTCTTAATGGTCCCACCCCTTAATATCTTCACAACAGCAATTACATTTCATCATGAGTTTTGAAGGGGACATCTGGGCTTCATCCCCCTCCCAAAGTCTTTTTGTTTGTTTTTGTTTTTGTTTTCGTGATTTTTTCAAAAATTGATTAAAGATATCATATTTAACATATTTCTTTTTTAAATTTTTAGGTGTTAAATTTTAAAATTACTAAAGTTATATATGATTGTTATAACAAGTGATCACAATTGAGAGTGGCAATAAAAATTATGAATCTTCTGCCCTTGAAGTAAATAATTTAACAACCTGGTAGGGATCTTTTCACATCCTTCTATATGCAATGCTATACAAACATTTATAAACCTATATAGGTTTTAGTTTTAATTTCCCATTTTGATAACAAAAATAGTATTGCATTATTTACATTATCTTCAACTTGGCTTTTTAAAGGTAGTACTCTATCATAAACTTCCTCTAGATCAGTTAGTGTAGCTACAACTCATTCTTTTAGGTACATTCTTTAAATACATAGAGCCAATGTAGCTTAGTTGACATAGCTCTCCTCCTATTGGTGAACATTTGAGTATTTCTTTTTTTTTTTTTTCCTCTTGCGATATAGCCTTATTTGCTATGGCATGTTTGCCTATGTAGAGCACAGTCCTAAAAGTGGACTGCTTTGGAAACACTGCCCACAAACATTCTGGTGATTCACACTTTCACCAGCAACATATGGGATTCTCTGTCTCCACACCTCAGCCAGCATTAGGCATCCTGGAGCCTATTAATTTTCATCAGTGTGATAGGCAAAAATAATATCACCTTATTTTAATTTCCATGTTATAGTATTAATCTGCATTCCCTTTATGTGAACTGCCTGTTAATGTTGGTTGATTATTTTTTCTAAAGGATTGTTTGTCTTTTTTTCTTTCTCACTTTGGAGGGTTTTTTTTTTTTTTTTTTTTTTTGAACATTAGAGATTTTTAAGACTTTGTTTATCATAAATGTTGCCAATATTTTTCCCAATCCATTATTTTTCTTTTTTTGTTATCTTTTGTGATAGCAAAGATAAAATAATACATAATTCAATATGTTCATCTTTTCCTTTCTGGTATGTGGTTATGCAAGAAGGCCACTTTCTCTCTAATTTTATTTCACTATTCTCCTGGAGTTCCTTGTAATGTTTTCATTCATTTAGTTTTTACATTTTAAGCTTTAACCTTTCTGGTATTTATTTGTGTGTATTGTATGAGGGAAGTGGCAGAGGGTGGAGGTGGCTAACTTTTATCTCTTCCAGATAACCAGTTACTCTAGCACAATTTTTAAAATAAAGTTTTCTTTTTCCTGCGAATTGAAATGTCACCATTGGCATTTTCCCCAGTACCTATATCTGTATACATTTTGGGATTCTCAGTACTGGTTCACTGGCCTATTAATCTGTTTCTGGCAAATGTCATATTGTTTTGATTATAGGCACTGCATTTAAGTCTTACAATCTGTTAATGCAAGTTTTCTGTTCATTTGTTTTTTCCAAAGATATCTTGACTGGACTATTATCAGACATTTGTTTTTCTATTTTGCTCATTTCCCATAGTGACTCTATTTTGTAGCTTTTATGTTCTTTAGTGAGATTTTTTTCCTTTCTTCCTAAAAGTCCTGGACCTGTCTTGTCTATTTGTGACATTTTTATTGTTTTTGCTACCATATTAATGAACTATCTATATATTTATATAACTCTTTTCCATTTCAATTCCAACCTGATATTACTGGTATGGAGAAAAGTTGTTTTGTTTATTTCTATTTTATCCAATTCCTTTTCCATATTCTCTTGTTCACTCTAATGTAGTTTTTACTAGAATTCCTTAATACTTTTGGATATATGATCACATATTCTGCAATTTCAAAACAAGTTTATCTCTTCTAATATTTATACAACTATTATTCCATGTCTTATTGTGTATCTTTAGCAATTTCAAAAGTTGAATAATCGTGATTCTAGCGGTCATATCTATCTTATTCCTGATTTTAAAGGTCTTGGTGTCACCAGTTTATGAGCATTTGCTCTAGACAGTTAGCAAATAGGTTCTTGTTATATTTAGGTAGTTTCCATGTATTCATTTTTGCTTTGAGTTTTTATTAGGAAACATTGCTGAATTTTTCAAATCCCTTTTTGCAGCAATTAGTGTATTCATATACACTTTAATTTATTACTTTAATTTATTAATTGAATAAATGATTATGATAGATGTTGACTCAACCTTGAACTCCTACTATAAATGCTAATTGTCTTTTTTTAACTGCTGGATTTGATCTGTTGATATTTGATTTACAGTTTCTGCATCTGTGTTTACAGGTGAATTGATCTATATTTTTCTATTTTTAATGTTTTTATGTGGTTTTATATAAGACAATGCTAGCTTTACAAAATAACCTGGGGAACTTCCCATCTTATTATTGTCTGGAGAAGTCTCATAGGAATTATTTATTGTTAATGGTTAATTAGATAAAGTAGATCTTTATTTTCTGATTGCTTTTGAAGTCATTTGTCAATTCACATTGTCTGCTTTCCCTTATATGCAAATCAGGAAATTATATTTTGGTAGAAAATTATCCATTTCCTTTAGGTTTTTTAATTTGCCATCATAATGTTGCATTGACATTTTTCTTATTCTTTTCTTCTATATCTATACTTATATTACTCTTTTCATTTATGCTGTTGAACAATTTTACTTTTTCTCTTTCAAACTTAATCAAATCAGCCAAAGATTTATGTTAAAACACAAGGAACTGTCAAGGAACGTGATAGATTTTTTTAATTACTTGCTTTATTTGTTATTTCATTAATTTTCACTTCTGTCTGTATTAAAACCCTCTTCATATGGTTGTTTTGGGGGTTTTTGTTTTTGTTTATTTTTGTTTTTGTTCTTTGAGATGGAGTTTCGCTCTTGTCACCCAGGCTGGCGTGCAATGGCATGGTCTCAGCTCACTGTAACCTCTGTCTCCCAGGTCCAAGCAATTCCCCTGCCCCATACCTGGCTTCTGGCTTTATGACTCATCAATACCTATTTTGGTTATATCAAATGGCCACCTTAATCCTGTTGATGTCTCTATCCTTGAAATTGAGTTTGTTTTCTCTTCACGTGGCCACTTTGCCCTCTTTTTCTTTGTGTCAACCTTGCATAAATTTTCCCAGATATTTATGTTCAGGTTTTTGTCTGTCTCTTTACCGTAGGTATATTTCTTGTAAACAGCATTTGGGTTTTAATCTCATCTGAGTGTGTTGCTTTTGAAAGAGGAATCCACCCACTTCATATCTGTGTAGAACCTGTCCTATTAGTATATATTTTTCCATCTCTTTAATTTACTACTATTTCCTTTTTGCCCTTCCCTTATTCCTGCTGGTTTCCTAGTTTCTAAAGAATACTGATATTGTACTTTCTGTGTATTTCTACCTTTCATTCCTTAGTTGGTTTTCTCAGTTATAAAACAGGGTCAACAATAGTCTTCACCATGGAGGGCAGCTCTGCACTTAGCACAGGCCCTGGCATATAATAAGTGCTCAATAAATATTAGTTATATTGCTCTTAGCCTCACATCACCAAAGGAAATAATGATCATCTAACCCTTACATCTATGTAGTGCTTGTTATTTTTCCAAGCACTTTCTTATCTTATTAGGTCCTCATAAGACCTCAGTAAGAACTGCAGGGAATAGTGTCTGTTTTACAGATGAAATTATTGAGGTACAAAGACATTATGTTATTTGTCCAAGGATGACAAATACTAAACAGTATTGATGCTTAGACTCCCGAACGCAGGGCTTTCCCCAGTTCTCAGTTCCTGAACTATACCGCCTAGGTTTCACATAGACTAATGATTCTCTGCACATCAGAATCCCTGGGAACTTTTAAAAATCTGGATGCTCAGACCACATCCTACACTGATTAAATCCGAATCTGTGGGGTGACACCTGGCATGAGGAGTTTTAAAAATTCTCCAGATGATTCCAATGTGCACCCAAGGTCAAGAGCCAGTGACTCTGATTTTCTTGGTGTAAAGGTAAAAGCAGAAACGGCTGTTGTCTTCTACCTGTGATCTTTTCTGTGAGGTAACTCTTCTTACACATGCCAAGGTTGGCATAGAGCATGGAGGATGTGATTACTGCATTTTGTGAATGAAAAGACAAGGGAAAGGCAATGTTGCTTTTCCTCTCATTGGCTCTGTTGCGTGGAATCAGAAGAGGAAATGAAATTTCAGCACAACCTGAGTCACAAGGACCCCTTGAGCTTCCCCAAAGCAGATGGTATTTTTAGCATTCAAGTGAATTTCAAAAGCAAGTACTTTGGAGTGGGTGTACCTGGCTGCCCCATCATCTCCAACCTGCAACAGCACATTCCTTCTGTGCTGCTGGCAGAAGAGAGGAGAGAGGGGTCCAGGCAGAGGGTTCCAGCAGTCAGGGAGGATGACTCAGGAGCCAGAGGTAAGTGCTCCTACCTTCCTAGGTATCCAGTGGGATTAAACTGAGAGTTTGGATTGGTTCAGAATATTACACAAGGGTAGGCATTAAAAGGGTGCTTCACTGACATGATACATGGCCTGAAAACTCCTTTGGCACTGCTGGCACTTGTGGCTGTGACCTTGTTGAAGTAACA